CTTCTCCTCTCTTCTCCTCTCCTCCTCGTCTTCTCCCTCCTCTCTCTTCTCGGCACCCTCTCACCTTGGCACACCCCTCAGACGCTTCGTGGCCCCATAGGGAGCTCCACTTAAGGTCCCAGTGGTGCAGTTCGCGTGGCGGCGCCGCCCCATTTTGGCATACTTCTCACACGCTTCGTGGCCCCATGGGGAGTTCCATCCAAGGTCCCAGTCGCGCAGTTCGCATGGCGGCGCCGCTCAATGTTGGTACATCCCTCACACGCTTCATGGCCCCACAGGGAGCTCCACCTAAGGCCCCAGCGGTGCAGTTCGGATGGCGGCGCCGCTCCATTTTGGCACACCCCTCTCACGCTGCGTGGCCCCATGGGGGGCTCCAGCTAAGGGCCCCATGGCGCAGTTCACATGGCGGCGCCGCCCCTGGCACACCCCTCAAACGCTTCGTGGCCACAAAGGGAGTTCCGCCTAGGGTCCCAGTGGCGAACTGCGCATGGCGGCGCCGCGCCATGTTGGCACACCCCTCGCACGTTTTCGTGGCCCCTCACTCGCTTCGTGGCCCCATAGGGAGCTCCAGACATTTTTTCGGTCCTGTAGACTCTGGCCTTGGCCGTCTGCTGTCCGGCGCGCTGCCCCTGGTCGACGTCGCCCAGGCGTGATCTTTGACCGCGGCCGCCACGAGGTCGGGAACGGCAAGAAGGAAGACGACGACGGGTGGCTGGAGCTCTATGCGCTGCTTCTGCGCGCTACCCCCCATTTGGACCTCCTGCTCATGCGGGCGCCGCGCATGGAGCTCTTCTTGGTAGGGCCGCCAGAGGGCGTGCTCAAGCAGCTGGAGCAGCACGCGGCGCGCACGAAGCGGCGCAGGACGGAGGCGACGGCCCTCGCCAGGGAGCTGGGTTTCACTGGATTTATTCGCGAGGCTTGACCTGAGGAGCGGCCCGCCCGAGCCGCCCTTTCTCTCGACTGCCCAACCTTTCGGTCTCGCGCCACGGACGACCCGCGCGCGTTGTTGGGGCCCTTGGGGCGACCGGCGCGCGTCGCGGGAACTCCGCGCGGCGCCCTGCCCAGCGCCTCGCTCGCCCGTCGTCGCTCTGCCTGGTGGCCAGACCGTTGCCCGCCACCAGCCAGCCAGCTAGCCCGGTCTGCCCCGCGCCGCGGACGACCCGCGCGCGTCGCCGGGGCTCTTTTGGGGCGATCGGCGCGCGCCGCGGGAATTCCGCGCGGCGCTCCGCCCAGCACGTCGCTCGCCCGTCGTCGCTCTGGCTATCGGCCAAATCCTTGCCCGCCATCAGCCAGTGAACCGCTTCCTGCGCGCGTCGCTGGGGCCCTCTTCGGGGCGACCGGCGCGCGTCGCGGGGGCTCCGCGCTGCGCGGCTCTTGCAGCCGTGGGCCTTGGAGTGCGGGGGCGAAGAGTAAGAAAAGCAAGGGAAGGAATCGGGCGCCTTCCTTGCGCGGGGCGGGCCGACATGGGCGCCGCGGCGCGCGGGCGCTGCCATCGGGGTTTCCGGGGGGGGGCCCCCGTGGCAGCCGCGCTCAGCGCCACGAGGGTTCAGAACCAGGCGTGCCCCCACCGTGCCACAATTTGTCTCCTCCCCGGCGCAACGCCTGTTGCCCGGGCCCCCCCCCCCGGGCAACGCCAACCATCGCGTTTGGGCGGGGGGGCTTGGGCCCCCCCTACATGCTGGGAGCGGCCCCCCCGCAAACATGTAGCTGCGCTCACAGACATGGCGTGGTCTGAGCGGGGCGCATTGCTATGCGCAAACTTGTCGTGGCGGTCGCAGACCCCCCACCTGTTGCGGCGCTGAGCTCACAGGCGCGTCGCGGTGCTGAGAGGGATGTTTGTGCGCTCATATGCGCGTCGTGGCGCTTGCACGCTATTGTGGTGCGCGTGGGTCAGGCGGATTCACTGCCAAAGCGCCCGCTCAGAGGGTGACATGTCGGTTGGGCGGCAGATGCAGACTGTGAGGGTTTTTTTCCCCACTGTCCACGGGTTTGTGGCCGCGCCGCGTTGACGCGGTGGCCTCGCCAGCGCGGGCGTTCAAGGCCGATCGCGACCCAATGCGCTGTTTCGGGCCCAAGACCCGCAGAAACGAACCCGTGGCGCGAAATCCAAATCAGAGGTGTGTGAGCCCTTACTTTTTTGAGGACCACCAAACGATTGGGGGTAAGCCTTTTTGTAGAACATGTAGTTGTTGACGTGGGGCGGAAAAAATCAAAACAGAGCCAGACCATCGTCGACGTCGTTGTTATCGTCGTCGTCGTCGTCGTCGATGGCTCAACTACCGCAGGTTGGTTCGACCGCTTTGCCTTCTGGCCAGTGCCCGGTCGCAGTGCGATACAGCCGACGCCCGTAATAATGACGCGTTTTTTTTTAGTTTCCCTTTTTTTTTTTGCTTTTTCTTATTTTTGGTTTTCTGTTTGCTTCTTTAAGTTTATTTCTTTCTTCTCTGGGTGCCCGCGTGTCCTTGCTTTTGCGGTTTGTGTTTCCCTGTTTAAATTGGGTTGTTTTCGCCAACAAATCCCAATTTCAGCTTACAAGGTTTTTGCGTCATTACCATTTGATGTTACGGCACGTGGCGATTGTAGGCCCAGCGCCATGGAAATGATGCCACGCGCGTTTTCCCGCAGGCGTTGCGGTGTGCGCGGGCGGTGTGGTCACGCAGGCAACGTGGTGCACGCTGGCAGTGTGTTGCGCACGGCTGCCGCGGTGTACGCAGGCGCTGTGGTGTACGTTAGCGCTGTGGCGCACGCGCGCAGTGGTGTACACCGATGCTGTGCTGTGGTGTATATACACAGGCGGTTTGGTGTACGCAGGCTTTGTGGTGCACGCGTATGGAATCCTCACGCGCTCCATTTTCCATAGGGGCGTATGTAAAACATGCATGTAAAACACGTGTCGTCTGTTGATTTCGGGGGGTACCCCATTTTCCGTTGAGCTTCTTTTGCGAATCTTGTTGTAAATTGGGACTGCGTGTGGCATCCAACGTCGCAATCTCATATTCGAAATCGGTTGCATGTGGAATACTGACGTGATCCAGTTTCACGGCGCTGTCCTTCTGGCGCATGCAGGCAATACGGTGTGCACGAACGTTGTTGCACGTACACACATATGCTGCAGTATACACAGGCGATGCGGTGTGCAAAAGCGACGTGGTGCTATAGTGCATGCGGTTGTTGTGGTGTACGGAGGCAGTGTGGTGTGTACACGGGTGGCGCTGTGTTGCACGCAGGCGTTGGGCATCTGTTGTGTACACAGGTAGTGCGGTGCACACAGGCGATTGATACGTTGGTGGCGCGGACGCACCCTGGCGGGCGCACGCCGCGGCCGCCGTCTCCGTTACCTTGACGGCCGACTTTCCCCCCCAGATAACGGCCGTTACCCGGGGAAGGAAAAATGTCACCCGTGACTTACCCGCGACCCACCCACGACCCACCCGCGACCCACACCGCGTCCCGCTCGCGATTTGCCCGCGACCCACGCCGCGCCCGCCTCCTCATTCTCATCCGCAATTGCGGGTTGCTACATAGCTCATGTAGTCCCGACCAGTATCCATTCCGATCAAATCCCCGTACCGCTCCTGGCATCCATCTTGGTCGGTTTTTGTTTGGAGCGATGGTTGATGACACCAGGGCCCGAAGTCAGCACCCGTGGGCCGAAATAGAGAAACAAATGATGATGCGATGTTTGTCTTCCCTCCTCCGTTTCTCCGACATGTTTCGGGCATTCACAGTCTCTTTACTCCCCCCTCCAAGGACAAAAAAGGATGAGGAGGAGGAGGAAGTAAGTGGAGCGAGCAGGAATGATAATGAGGTGGTCATGCTGCCCCGCACGGCTAGAGACGACTGGCCCAGCACCAATGGTAACGGGCCACTCGACAGACCGAGACACCCCAGCACTTCGCAGGACGTATCCTGAGCCAATCGCATGGTGACATCTTCTTCGTCCCAGGGACATTGTGGATGAGGGCTTTTGCTGGTTGCTTGTTCCGGACATCCACCCCTCCCTCTCCCTCTTGCCGTATCCCCGAGCCTCAAATTGTTCCCCCCTGTCTTTCTTTCGCTCTCCGAGAAGAGGGAAGGAGAGGATGAGGAAGGCAGAGGACCACGAGGATGAGGAGGAGGAGGAGGAGGAAGAGGAGGAAGAGGAGGAGGAGGACGAGCAGGAAGAGGAGGAGGAGGAGGAGGAGGAGGAGGAGGAGGAGGAGGAGGAGCAGAAGGAGGCGGAGAGAGGGAAGAGGCATGAGGGAGCATGAGGTCGAGGGAAAGAAGAAGGAGGATGCGGAGGAAGGATAAGGATAACAGGTTTTTGTCCTCGACCCACGAGGAGGTGGGAGGAAGGAGGAGGCGGAAGAAGGTGGAGTGAGGACGGACGAGGGAGCAGGAGGTGGAGGTGGGCAAGGGCTGGAGGAGAGCTTCTTGCTTCAGGAAGGGAGGAAGAGGACGAGCGTGAGCAGGAGGAAGAGGAAGAGGGAGAGGGCGAGGAGGAGTTAGCAGTTGGGCTACACGCGAGTGTTTTTGTACCCCGCGCGTAGCGGCCACCCCGCGCCGGGCGCCGGCACCCTTGCAGGGCCCGCAGGCCCTCGGCGCCGAGGGTTGGGGGGGGGGCGCCGTCGCTGGGGATTTGGCCCCGCGGGGCGGGCCGCAGCCTGGAGGGGGAAGAGCAGAGGGAGGACCGGGTGGGTGGGGCCCGCGGGCCAGGGAAGGCCCCACAGGCCAGGGAGAGAGGGAGGGAGGAGCGAGGAGGAGGAGGAGGGGGGAGGGAGGGAGGGGGGGGGGAAGAGGGGCGAGGAGGGACGAGGGGGGACGAGAAGAGGCGAGGAAGGAGGGACGAGGAGGGACGAGGGAGGGGGGACGAGGAGGGCAGAGGGAGGAGGGACGAGGAGGAAACGGAGGAAGACGGACGAGGGAGGAAGAAGGGACGAGGAAGGCGGGAGGGAGGAGGAGCGCGTGTCTCTCCGTGCTCATCTTCGCCTCCCCCCCCTCACTCGCGCTCTCTGGGTTCCCCGAGCGAAGCGTCTCCTCGCGCATCGTGGCACCCGGCCCTCACCGCCCACGCGCCGGCGCGCGCGCTCGCGGCGCGCCACGATTCGCGAGGCCGTGGCAGCCTTCCTGCAAGAACGACGACGATGGACGACGACAACGGCACTGACGGCGACGTTCTCGACGGCGACGGCGACGTTGGCGACGCGTCGACGACGACGACCGCGACAGCGATGGCGACGGCGACGGCGACGACAACGGCGACGACGACGGCGACGACGCCGGCGACGGCGACGGCGAGAACGAAGCACGTCCTCTCTGCCCCTTCAGGTTCGGGCTGATGATGGGTCCTTTGCAAAGGGGGTCTCAGAAGTTCACGCAATAATTCGTGCAATCGGTCGCGCTGGATCTTGCTGGTGCGGGCAGAGTGCGTTGCACTTGGCATCGTTGGTCTGTGAGAGAGGCCACGTGCCATGAGCCAGAGGAGGAGGAGGAGGAGGAGGAGGAGGAGGTTCGAGGAGGAGGAGGAGGATGAGGAGGAGGAGGAGGAGGAGACCCCATGACGGAAGACCCTGTCTGTGGCCGGAACCAGCTCTCCGCCCCTCCAGGTCGCAGGGCCATGTCTCGCCCCGTATCCACGAGATTCCGCAGAAAAGTTGTCGTGTATGTCAAGCAGTGGCGGAGCGTCTTGGCTCGCCTGTAGGCCTACCAAAGAATGTTCTAAGATATTTTGCGGTTTCAGCAAAATTTGCTCAGAGCCCTTCTTGCCGGGACCGTCTCGTTTTAACACATCGGAATTATGTTCTAAGAACATTGTTTTCGTTATTATAACAGTTTGGGGCTCTAAGAACATTACGTGGTAGGCCTATATGAATGCGGGGACGGTCGGTCTCTGCTCAAATATGGTAGGACCCACGTCAAGGGGAGCTTGCTAGTAATTGGACCCCGAAGCGCAAAGTGCTGTCTAAATCAAATATGCCGCAGCAGGCGTTTTTCGGGTGTCGGTAGTAGTTCCAGGTTGTGGAATGCGGCGGGGGAGGCTTCCCCAAGCACGCATCACTAAACCAGGTCGTCTTGACAATGTCCGGGTCGGAGCACAACAATGGACATACATTTGAATTGTCGGAGGTCCCCGCGGGTTTCTCGGATCGGCGCCGGAGCCCTCCCCGTCCAGAGGCGCCTCCAGCGCCGCCACTGGCGTGCTCCGCGGGCCAGGCAGGGGTTGTGTCCAGCGCCGATCCGAGGGATCCGCGCAGACCTGCGAGACACACGTTGCTTGTGCTGTTTTTTGTTGTTGTTGCTTTGCAGTTTCTCGCCCCCAACCCCGTGTGTCCCTTGACATGCCCATGCGCCCAGAGTGATGGGCCCGTTTTCCACCACCACCATCAGATGGAGGGGGAAGGAGGTGTAGGACGAGGAGGAGGAGGACGAAGAGAAGAAGGAGGAGGTGGAGGAGGAGGAGGAGGACCTGCTCCACTCTCCAACTTATGGCGGTGGTGGTGGAGAACAAGCCCATCACAGAGGAGGAGGGAAACTTAGGTCACACCCCTGGGGCGTGAAGACCATCGCGCCTCGCGCCGATCGAGGCGCGGGTCGAAGAGGTGCCTTTTTCCGGGGCGTCGGCGCGAGAGCGCGAATGTGTAGCCGCACGCCGCACATCGAGGGGCGCGATGTGCGAAGTCGGGCGGACCAGGAAATGCAGGGATATCCTCGGAAGCGCCCCACACACAACTCTACAGTTAAGTCGGGCGTGCCCCTCTACAGGAGGAATATGCAAAAACAGTCAAAACATAGTATGGCAATTAGTTTTGGGTATGTTTGATTATTGTTTGACCCTTTTGAATTTTTTGTCCGAAATCCCTCTTTAGGGGCGTGCCCGACCTACAGTCGGCCCGGATTAGTAGGTCGACCCTGCCAGCTCCAGGGTACCCTTGTGTCCTGTGCCTCGCGACACGTGCCTTGTTACACTCCTATGGCGATGTGGCCCTCGGAAGGGTCTTGTGTCCTCTCTCGTATCCTGTCCAATCAAGGCCGACTGAGCCTCTCTACAGCTGCACCGATTCTGGCCAGGCCGATTCGGGTCCCCCAGGAACGCTCTCGGCGAAGTGCATCTGCTTAAAAGCACCCATGGCGCGAAGGCCGACATGGGGTCGACCACGGCCAACAGCGGCCCGTCGTGAGTTTAGTTGGACGCCGCGAGTGCTGTCAGGCCTTTGGTTTACCAGCCTGGAACCTATTCCTATCCCTATGATGGGCATCACCTGATTTCGAGGCCGATCTTGGAGAGTCCCCGAGTTTTTGAGGGCGCATCCCTAAGATTGCCATGCCACTTGGCCTTGCCAATCTTGAGGGGTAGGGACAAGATCGAGGCTGGTTGTCTGGATTTCCCCCGAGGCGTTCGCTGCCGACCCGATGCTCCAGAGGCTGGCTGTGGCTGCCGCCCTCGCCGCCCTGCTGCCCGCGGGGTCGAGCGTGCTGACGGTCCACGTCGTGCCGCACACCCACGACGACGTCGGGTGGCTGAAGACTGTGGACCAGTGCCCTGCCGCCCCTTCCTTCCGCCACGAGCGGTGCAGGCATCCACACCCGTCCCCCTTGCGGTCTGGACCCCGGGGCGCGCGGTCTCACGGATGCGAACCGCGGTGGGCCTGCGCGGGGGGGGGGGTTGTTTTGGGGGGTTGGGAGGGACTTGGGGGGAGCCCCGGGGGGGAGCCCCGGGGGGGAGCCCTCGGGGGGGGAGCCCAGGGGCGTTCGTGGTATGCCTGACGTTGGAGCGTGGAGTGCCAGCCCCCCCCCCTCCCACCCCTCTCCAGGGCCGCCTGCGATCCGATTCGATGCGATTCGATTCGCTGACTGGGGCCGCGATTCCACTTCGATGCGATTCTCTATTCCCTGGCATCGGCCAGGGCCACTGGGGATAGGCCCGCGACCTTTCCTACAGTGGAGGCCCATGCCAAGAAACACCCTGTTTGCCTCCAGGGTGCCCTGGGTCTTTGCCACGGCGAGCGCGACGCTCCCACACCAAAAATCGATGGACGTCCTGGGGTCTCAGGGTTGGGTTTCTTGTGGGAGGTTTCTTGTGGACTCGCCTCCTCCGTACTTTCGCGAAGCGCCTCGTGTGCAAACGTGCTGCGCTGGCGTCTCCCGAGGCGTCGACCGCTCTCTCGACCCAGAGTACGGTGCGTGCAGCCTGCGGGCAGGATTTATATTTCAGTCGGGCATATCCCTCTACAGGAGGAATATTCAGAAATAGTTTTGGGGACGATTGTTCTACTATTCTTGAATCTGTTTGGCGCATTGTTGGGGTATGTCTGTGGATTTGTCGTCTAAACTCCGCCTGTAGGGGAACGTGCCCGACTCGAGTCTATATTCATATGCATTGCGTCCTGGACTTTCTTGGAAGGGGCGCCGCACGGCCGAAGGCGCACTGGATGTGGACACGCATCGAACCTCCATACGGCAGGTTCGCGTCGTGTCGACCGGCGGCGACTCCAGCGCGTGCGTTTAAGGTTGAACGCCGCCCGTGGCCCAGAATCGGCCCGTCGTTGAACGATCCGGCGTTCATGGAACGGCCGATCGTTCAAGTTTGAACGATCCCCGCGGTGTCAGGAACCAACGCCGGGGTCGACACGACGCGAACCTGCCGTAGGGGACCAGATGTTTCTCCATGTCCAGTGCGTCTCCGTGTTCTGGGAAAGGGAGCCCGAAGCTCCAGGCTGCGGTGGACATGGACACACGCCTTGCTCGCACACCCGCTCGGCCCTCGGAGCCGGGCAGCGAAGCGGCGTTTGGCGTCGGGGTGGGGCCTGCTTGGGGGGGTTCGAACGTGGTGCGGTGCATGGGCGCCGTTCTCGTATACCACGGGCGGGGTGTCGCCTTCCAGGTGTCCCCCTTTGGGCCTCCTCAGGCCGCCCCCCCACTGGGGGGCCCGAGGGGGTCGGGGGCCTGGGGGAGGAGCCTGCGAGGGCCCCTGGGGGGGGCGCTCGGGGGGGGGCCGCGTGAGCGACGAGGGTGGTCCCTGGGAGGGCCCTCGAAGGGACCCAGGGGCGCTCACAGCAGGCTCGGTCTTGACATCCATCGCGCCGCGGCAGGAATCACGACGGACAGTTTTTGTCAGCTCTTGATGGGCAGTGCTTGGCACTTTGGCCTCGTTCGCTTCAGGTATTACGCTGGGGTCAATCCGCAGGGGCAGTCCATCAGCGGCTATGTGAAGATGATCCTGGACACCGTCATCCGGTCCCTCCAGGAGAACCCCGAGAGGAAGTTCACCTACGTCGAGCAGGCATTCTTCCAGCGCTGGTGGCGTGAGCAGACCCCGGCGGTCCAGAACCTCACGCGGGACTTGGTGAAGGCGGGGCGGCTCGAGTTCACGAACGGGGGCTGGTGCATGCACGACGAGGCTGCAGCCTACTACCTCGACATGATCGACCAGACCACCGTCGGGCACCGCTTCCTCATCCCGGGGGTGTCGACGAGGTGGGGCGAGGACGGGTGTGTGTGTGTGTGTGTGTGTGTGGATGTCCCCATTCGGCCACGCGCAGAAGAGGGGTAGGGGGAGGGGGGAAGGCTCCTTGGAAGCACCCCTGCTTCGTCGAGGGCGCGGGCTTTCTCTATGGATGCAAGGCCGGCGCCGTCTGAGAAGAGGCCTGCTTCTAAGACGCTATGTCCCAGATCTCGTGGCCCTCTCTCTGCCTCGGCCACGCGACGTCCCCCGCCCGCCCCGCGCCCGCGCTCCTTCGGAGGTCCGCGCGGACGGCTCGGCTCGGCGCCGGGCCCCCCCCTCTCCCTGGAGCGCGCCGGGGGGCCGGGCGTGGGCCCGAGAGATCCGCGCGGACCTCCGCCAGCGTATGTTCGAGCAGGTAGTTCTCGGCATCGCTCGGACGTGTGCATTTTTCCTTCGGCGAGGACCATCGAGGAGCATTCTTGATCGTTTGGCGAAGAGGACCACGCACGAAACCGAAAAAAGCACAGGGAATGGACGTCCGAGCGATGGCCAGTGTTGGTCCCCCACAGATGCGCGACCGCCCCTCTGCCTGACCCCCCTCGTCGGCGCACCCGGTCATGGACGAGTTCGGCGTGTCGCCGTCCACTGGCTGGCAGCTGGACCCGTTTGGGCACTCGGCCACCCAGGCTGCGCTCCTGAGCGCAGAGGTGGGCTTCAACGGGCTCTTCTTCGGCCGTATCGACTACCAGGACCTGGCAAACCGAATCAACAAGTCAGAGGCCGAGTTCGTCTGGCGAGCCTCGCCCTCTCTGGGCCGCGACGTCCAGGTCTTCTCCGGGCTCACTGGCGAGTACGGCGGCAACTACGGCCCTCCGAACGGCCTGGACTTCGAGAACGGCGACGCGGTTCAGGATGACACCACGCTGGAGGACAACAATGTGAAGAGGCGTGTGCAGCGTTTCGTAGGGGCTGCCTTGTGGCAGGCGTCGCACACCCGCGGGAGCAATATCATGTTCACCATGGGTAGCGACTTCCAGTACGAGAACGCCTTCAAGTGGTTCGAGAGCTTGGACAAGATCATCAAGTATGTGAATTTGGACGGCCGAGTTCATGCTCGATATTCCACTCCTGCCGAGTACGTCCGGGCGAAGACGCAGGAGCCAGGGGCCTTGGTTACACCCGCCGATCTTCGATTGCGCGAAGAAGGGGGTGGGGTAGGGCATTTGGCCTTTCAGACACCAGGGTGTTCAGGAGGGATCGGATGCTCCTAAGAGACGTCCTCTCAGCACCGACCAGGCCTGTCCGAGAAGCCCTCTGTCCACTCACGGGGCCATCCAGGGCCGCCTGATTACGGTCTGATTCGATGCGGTTCGAATCGCCGGCTGGGGCCGCGATTCCGATTCGATTCGATTCGAGTCACCCACATCGGCCGCGGCCAGGCGGAGCTGGGCGCGGCGATCCGAGTTCGATCTGATTTGGAGCGATCCGCTGGCGATCCGATGGGTGGCCGATCCGATCCGAGTTCGCGATTCGATTCGACTCAGGGCTGCTACCCGCCACCCGCCTTGCCCCGCCCCTAGCGCGATGCCCAATCGAGCCGCATCGCCGCTGCCTCCTCGAGGAGGTGAGCACAGGGGGGGGAGCCGTGGGGGGAGCACCACTCACCTCCTGCGCTCCTGTGCTCCCGCAGGCCTTGCCCCACTCACCTCCCGTGCTCCGCCCCGCTCGCCTCCTCTCCGCTCCGGCCCGCCCTCCGCGACCTCCTCGAGGTCCAGGCCGTGGTGGTCGCGCCGCCAGGGCCACGGCTCGGGTGCCGCCAGAAGTGCCCCTGACCCAAAGGTGCCCCCTAGGATTCTCGGGGTGGCCCAGGTGGCCTCCATCGAAGAAGAAACAGCGCCATAAACAGAAAACTGTCTGGCGCTCCGCACGATTTTTAGGTCCGCGCTGGGCCCCCCTGGCGGCGCCTCCGGCGCCGCACCTGGCGCGCTCGGCGCGCCAGGGCGGGGGGTCCAGCGCGGATCCGAGAAATCCGCGCGGAGCGCCATAGTTTATGTTTGCGGCGGTTTTTCTTCTTCTATTCCAGAGCGCCTCATCACGAGGCCCAGAGGGCCCCTGGGGCTCAAACGCCGAGCGAGAAGTTGGGGACCACCTTGGGCCAGGGACACCTCTAGCAACACCCGAACAGCCGGCCCCAGGTCGGTGTCCTTGGGCCCACAGTCGGCCTGGCAGGGCGCCGCGCACTGCGGAGCCCGCAGTCTGGCGGCGGCTTCCGTGGTGCCCAGCCGCCTAATTAGAGACCTGCCACCCATGCATGGAAGAGCGAGGATGAGGGCGGTCAGAGGGGAGGGAAGAGAGGAGGAGGAGGAAGAGGAGGAAGAGGTGGAGGAGGAGGAGGAGGAGGTAAAGGAGGGAAGGAGAGAAGGAGGAAGCAGGAGGTGGGGGAGGAGGAGGAGGAGGAGGAAGAAGCAGTGGGGGAGCAGGAGGAGGAGGGGAGGAGGAAGAGGAGGAGGAGAACAAGGAGGAGGAGGAGGAGGAGGAGAGGAGGAGGAGGAGGAGGAGGAGGAGGAGGAGGAGGAGGAGGAGGAGGAGGAGGAGGAGAGACGAGGAAGGGAAGGAGGAGGGAGGAGGAGGAGGAGGAGGAGGAGGAGAAGAAGGCAGAAGGAGGGGGAGAGGAGTAGGAGGCGGAGGAAGGAGGAGCGGAGGAGGAGAGGGGAGGAGGAGGAGGCGGTCGAGAGGAAGAGGAGGAGGGGCGGAGGAGGCGGAGGAGGAGGAGGAGCGAGGAGGAGGAGGAGGAGGAGGAGGAGGAGGAGGAGAGGGAGGCGGAGAAGAAGGAAGAGGAGGAGGAGGAGGACGGGATGGCGAGGAGGAGGTCGAGGAGGAAGAGAGGAGGAGGCGGAGGAGGCGGAGGAGGAAGAGGAGGAGGAGGCGGAGGAGGAGGGGAAGTAGGAGGAGAAGGAGAAGGAGGAGGAGGAGCAGGAGGTGGGGGGGAGGAGGAGGAGGAGGAGGAGGAGGAGAAGGAGGTGGAGGAGGAGGAGGAGGAGGCGGAGGAATAACAATAATAAGACTAATCATAATAATAATGATAAGTAGAAGAATAATGCGAGTTATAGTAATAGTAAGCAAACTAATAATACGAATGATATTTCTAATGATAATAATAATACTAATCAGAATACTAATACTAATATTATCATTAATCATAATAATAATGGCAATGATAATAATAATAATAATCATACTAATCAGAATAATAAGAATCATAATAATAATAATAGGACTAAGAATAACAATACGAATAATACTAATACTAATATTAATAATAATAAAATAAGAGGAGGAGGAGGAGGTGGGGAGCAGAAGGATGAGGAGGAGGAGGAGGAGGAGGAGGAGGAGGAGAGACGAGGAATGGAAGGAGAGGAGTATGAGTAGGAGGAAGATGAGGAGGAGGAGGAGGAGGAGGAGGAGGAGGAGGCGGGAGAGGAGGAGGAGGAGGAGGAGGAGGAGGAGGAGGAGGAGGAGGAGGAGAGGGGAGACTTGCGATCGGTCCCGCGGTCGCCTCCCTGTCGCTCTCCTCCTCTTTCTCCTCTGCTGTCGTCGTCGTCGTCGTCGTCGTTCGCGTCGCTGGTTCCGTTCGTCTGTCGCCGTCGTGTTGTCGTTTGCCGTCCTCTCCGTCGTCGTGCAGCTTCGTCGCAATCGTCTGCGGTGGCCGCCCATCTCTCTTCTGTCTGGACCTCGTGCCCCGTGTGCGCGCGCGAGGCAAACCTGGTATCTTAGAGTTTCCCTCGTCGTCCTCCACAGGGCTCATTTCGATTCCTCCGATTCGGTTCGATTCGAGTTCGGTGGATTCCGATTCCGATTCGAATCGATTTGTGATCGCGATGCGGGTTCCGAGTTCTCACTGGAGGCTTACTGGCCTTCAGGTATCCGCCGATTCGAATTTTCCCGACTCGGCTGCCGATTTCCGCCGATCCGATGCATTTCGATCGCCGATCCAGCTTATCGATTCGATTCTGGGCTCTCCTGCCTCCAGGAAGTCAACGTCTCGTGGCCCCTGAAGACGGACGACTTTTTCCCCTACGCAGACACTGCCCACCAGTTCTGGACTCCTTGGGGGCGAACAGATCCCACCCACAGCCGACCATCTACTTGACCCTGTCATCCGACGTCGTGCCTCTTTTCACAGCGTGGCTCCCCGACCCCTTCCCAGGGACATGCTTCTCATCCCGAGTCGTCGTTGACGGCCCCTGGGCCGGTGGGGGGCTTTGCGGGGCCGAAGTCGACCAACCAGTGTTTGTCGTGACTTCTCGCGGCACGAGGCTGCCACAAGAGGGCGAAGTGCTTGACTTGCCACAAGAGGGTGAAGTGCTCACCCGTGCAGGCGTGCCCTTACAGCCTGGACCCCTCGCCCGCGCCCTCTGGCGGATGCCCGACGCCCAGCGGCTCACGCACGGGCGGATGCTCCCAGGCCCTGCGCCCTGACCGTGCAGGCTGCCACCCCCGTCTGAACGCGTGGCTGGGCCTCTTCCGTGGAGGCCCACGCCAAGGCACGCCCGAGCGCGACGCTCCAGCACCAAATATCGATGGACGTCCTGGGGTCTCAGGGCCGGGTTTCCTGCGGGGAGGTTCTTTGTGGTCGAGCCCCTATTGCAGGTCCCCCCCGGGCGCGCGAAGAGGACCGCGCATCGGGGCTTGGAGAGGCACCCTTCTCCAGGGCAGCGACGCAAGGGCGCGAAGATGACCGCGCGTCGCGCATCGCGGGGTGCGAAACGCGGAGTGCGAGGATGCCGAGGATCCCAAGGATTCTGGCAGACAGAAGTCCAGAATTCCTCAGGGACCCTATCTTCTTCCCGTGCCGGTTCCTCGGTTCGGCGTCGCCGCAAGTCCGTTCCAGATCAATCCCCACGCGCATGCCCCTCCCGACGACGGGAGCTGCGTCCAGCCGTGGCGACGAGAGCTTCGTGCCGACGTAGGCAACAAGTCCAAAGCGAAGACGTCGACCTCGTCTGCGCCCGAACAAAGAGGGCACTAGACTCCCGGGGTCGAACAACACGGTGTTTGGCCATTTCGTGGGCCGTTTCCGTGTCGAGTTCCGTTTGCAGCGACGAAGGCGGATGTTCAAGACCAACGGAGGGAAATCGACCACATTATCCCAGAGCGATTCTACCTAGGAGTTGGAGCCCCGAGGAGAGCAATGTTAGTAGTAACGGTAAACGCCGTCCTCATCCTTCTCCTCATCGTCGCAGTTGTAGCAGAAGCGGTAGTAGTAGTAGTAGTCGTCGTCGTCGTCGTCGTCGTCGTCGTCGTCGTCGTCATAGTAGTAGTGGTAGT